TATAGTGATTTAAAGGTTTAACGTATCTGTTTAATATGTCCTACCTGTGAAATCTTTCACTTCCCGATCTATTTATATAATGCGTATGGAATATAGAAAGATGGTGTCGTAATAACCAATACTTTTGAATAAAAGAAACTGCAAAGAATTGTGACAACGTTATCAAATCGCACTGACCAGTAAATTTTGACTTGTCAATTTATAACAATTAGAAACGTGTAAAATTGATGAATTGTATTTTTTTTTTCATCGATTTCACCCCGAGCAAGGGAGTAAAACTACTAAGACACAAGGGGTTACTGGGTTTGGAAAATTAGTAAACAGAAACTTTACTAAATAGCAAGAAAAAAAGAAGAGCAATCATGAGAACAGCTGAAAGCGATTGACATTGCATTTACTTTTTCGAAGGTTAAAGTTGGCTAGAAAGCATAAAAACTGAAGAGACTTCCACAAAACGAAAAACAGTTCGAGAGAAGAAACTATTAGCATAGAACTTACGGTTACATCTAACCAACTCAACTGTAAATTAGTGAGACCTCGTCGCCTGTTTCGTACTGTGTCTATATACCATGGTGAAGAGCTCATCCGAAAAAGTTACCAAGAAATTATTTATAGAAAAAAGCACAGGGAGGCAACTTTATGGCGGTAGGAAAATTTCTGGACCCATGATGCCAGATCAGGACCAATAATATTGCTGATTCATCCTTGGACTTTATCAACGATCTCTAGATATATAGTGGGAGTATCAGACTATATGTGGCTGCGATATTCTAGGCATGGATGAATTGTAGACTTATAGATATGTAAGAATCAGCAAAGTATTGTCTCGGGCAACACAGTGAACTAATTTTCTTAGCAGCTGACCTATCAAAGGATTCATTGTGGTCTTTCCGCTTCATGTCAGCTGAGAAAATTAGCCTGAGAAAGCGCAACGCGTCACTCACCAAGAGGTTAGTATCTACCATGCTGATGACAGGCAGTAAGAGATCTCTCAGATGATTAATAGAAAGCAGTAAAATTTTGGGGCCCTTCAAATTAACAAGCCATCCTTCGCACAAGTTCACAACAGACTGAGGGTCTTTTTTAACATCAGCCGCCAATTTAACCTTATCGAACTAAGTATCGCGACAGAAATAATTGGTTGTGTCACCAGCATAGATATCAAATCGAGAGCTGATACCATCGGGAAGGTCGTTAAAAACAAAATAGGACAAAGGATATAGTCCTGGCGGACAGCTGCATTTGTGCAAATGGATCTAGAAGAGTGGCCGTTCAGGATAACTAATATAATAACCAGGATAATTAAGATTGTTATCTTTATAATTCGCCAGTGACTCTGCTCCGTGTTCAATTGAACTTTTAGGTAAGAAATTAATTAATACTAATTATTCATTCATGTGTAACGTGTCTTGGGCAAGTAGATCTGGCGAAGGCCATCCATCTTCAGTTCAACCCACAACAGATGTCCTCCAGCTCGACAGATCACGAACACATGGCTATTAAATCTATGGGAAGAAACCTCTGCATTGGCCGTTTACTTTAGCAAGCCATCTACCCTGGATATGACGTACAATCTGTTATTAACTGGGCTTGTTAGTTTAAATGAAACTATTCACTTTTAATCGTATGAGAGAAGCCTTTTTACCTCCCACCATGCATGGCTGATGCGAATCTCCAGGGGAATGGCCCATTGTGTTTATTCGGACTAACATTTTCCGTTGACATGAAGTGAAAACTTTACATTCAACTTTATTATATTTAGGTCTGCAGCTTAGTTCAATGTGTCGTGCTAGACAATTTTACTCATCAAAATCTATTTTACATATTTAAAAGTATACCAGTCGTCCTTACTTTGAATATTGCTGCTACATCTGGTCCAGTGTAAAAGCAACGGGCCAGAAATTTTACAACTTTAGAAAATTCTTGATAAAATCCAAAGAATCTGCAATGATTACTGGTCCTGACCTGGTATCTCGGCTTCGGTCACTTACCCACCGCCATAACATAGCTTCCTTGTAACTTTTCTATAAATACCATAAAGGAAATCTATAAATAGATTTCCTCTACGGTACTTAGACTTTATGAATTTAAGCACAGTAAAGGATTGGCGGCAAAGTCTCATAATTTTGCAGTTGAAATGGTTACATGTAACCGTGAGTTCTATACTTTCTTCTATCGCATTTCTCGCTTGTGAAACTCTCTTCCGGTTTCTTGTTTCCTGTTTAACTTTGATCTTCAAAAATTTAAATACAGTGCCAATCGTTATTTTCTGTCTTCTTAATTTTTGTTCTTTTTATTATTTCATCTCGTTAATAATATTTATTTTTTCATATTCTCTAACACTCTATATCCCCTTGCGTCTTCATAGCTTTCTTGCCTTGCTGGGGAGGGGGAGTGAAACGATTAAAAGAAATATGCTGCCGGTAATTCAGTACTATGTACAGATGTAAGATTTAGTCAAAGCTCACTGTTGTTACCGTCTCTCGATTGAAACCTATATTGATTAAAGTCACGGAACCACTACACATGGATTTGTCCGCATGATGAACTAAGGAGACTTTTTTTTATAGACTTGGCTTTTCATACAAAGAAAATGCTTATCTTGGTTTAAATAATTTCCAACATCTGAATTTTTAACTTTATATAAACATATCAAATTATTATAATACGTATCCTGTAAATCATTATGGTCGTACTGCAGCATTATTGGGTCTTGGACAAGATAACCTGACGCAGCCCAGCCTATTCTCTTCAGGCTGGATTTGCATTTTTTAAATCCCCTCCTCCAAGACTGGCTACCACCGAAAGAAAGAGAATAAAATTTGATTTGATATCTAAACCATACCTGGCGAAAGATGGATTCATGCCTTATCCAACATATTTGGGCGAAACAGAATCGAGCTGAATTTGAACTCGGATCGACAATTTTACTTTCTGCGCCAATAGCCGTTCCGTTCTCTGCACATACTAAATTGCAATTGCTGGTGGTATCACGGCTATGACTAGCTTAGACCAGCTTGGAGAAGCTATGACCAGCTAAGACCAACTTAGACCAGCGGCCCGAGTGAAAACACTCGGGTACCCACGTTAAAAACTGACCTTGTGTCACAACCTGACTCAGATGGGGTGGGTCAAATAAATATCCATACTAAATTACAAATAGGACGGAGAAATTTCTAGAAGTAATCTGTCTACCAAAGAAAAGAAAAATAAACACACCAACTCACTAATGTTAGCTTTACGCACGGATTTCGTTAGCCGTTCCATGGGATCACTACTCATCGAATACTTTCTAGCTTTAGTTGAACCCGGGCCTTTCTTTGACTTCGAAGGTTCTTTAGCCGTAACGATAGGGGGGAAACTCACAGTCCGTTTCAGAGACGGCTTCTTCTTTGGTAGTTTTTTGCTTTCCTCTTCTTCTTCCGGTTCAACGTAAAAATAAGCATCTACCTGTTCGACTTTAACATCCAGCGTGAACAGACCTGTCAGTTTACTTCTTTCTTCTTCATCTTTTATACCATCCGGACTGACGTTCACCTGAGCGATTAGTTGTCTAATGGTGTCATACTCCGGTTCAATCTTGAAAATATAGAAATTATCCTTCAGAGTAGAATAGAAGACGATTCGACAATCATTTTCGTTCAGTAACTTCAAGTTTCCATCCACGCGAATGGTCCAACTGAGACCATCGTAAAACTCTGGGTCGTTATATTTGAAATATTCGAAGCGTTTTCCCGGGATGTCGAAGTAGGTAGTCTTTTCTGGCTCCTTTTTTGCCAGTGGGTTGACCTTTTTAAAGTTTTGCTTCTCCCACTCTTTTTCGTAGTAATGAGCTTCTTTTCTCGGGTAGCAGGCAATGGCCGCCGTCCATATTTTATCTTCAAACGATGTAAATAACGAGATGCATCCAGCGACTTTGTAGATTTTATCTTCTAAAACGGCAACTGCTTCTTTCATCCGCCTGAAGCGACCTTGCTTGACCTTTACCACACAGAACCTGCAATTGTAAAAAAAAAACAAAAAAAAACTATCAATTTATAATGATCAATAGCGCCAAACATCGTTTACTAAAAGAAAATAGCATTTACGAATACCAGTAATTTTTTTTAATCATTTAACACTGAGCAAGCCACCAAGACGCACAGGGTGTGAAAGAAAACGAAAGTCTTTAGAAAAGCAAATCGATAAACTAATTCTAAACAGGAAATAAGGGATAAACCTCTACTCCTGTACAAAAAAACGAGTAAGAGGCGATAAGAAAATCTATCTACTCCCATTAAAATAATAAAAAAATTATTTTTTTAAGTATTCTTTTAATATTGAAACTATTCTTTGTGTTATAAAATATTCTTCTCTTACACCAAATAGAGTAATGTTTTTGATATTAATAAAACAGAGTTGTACATGGACCCTGCAAATAGAAATAATAATTTATTTCAATTTTTTCCCAATAAGTCTACCAGTTGTCCATACTTTGAAAATTACTGCCATATATGGTCCGGTGCTCCTGCTATATATTTAGAAATTCTTGATAAAATCCAAAGAAGAATCAGCAATGTTATTGGTCATGTCTTGGCTTCAACTAGTTTCCCACTGCCGTAACGTAGATTACCTGTGCCTTTTCTATAAATAATTTCATGGTAATTATTCGGATGAACTCTCCGCTATAGTACGTCGGCTTTATGAATTTAAGCGCAGTCCCCGATTGGACAGCAAAGTTTCATCATTTTACAGTTGAAATGGCTAGATGTAACCGTAAGTTCCTTGCTAACATTTTTTCTCACACTTCTCACTTGTGGAACTCTCTTCCAGCTCCATGCTTCCCAGCTAACTTTTCTTTTAAAAGCACTATCCACTCACAAAAAAAGGAATAGTTTTTACATTCCAAAAGGTGTTACGACTTTAAAAAACCCACAAAACGTTGATCAGCAATAAAAAAAAAAAAAAAAAAAAATCTTGAAATGTAAAAAAACAAATTTTGATTTTATGTTCGTATTCTGGGTATCCTTTGTTTCCTAAATTTCTATCGATTAAGTACTCCTAGTTACGAATTAAAAATATTTTTACGCTTTAACAAGACACGTCTTATGAATATTTGTTTTGGCTTGCGTAGTCGGATCAATTCAGAATTTATTTATATGGTAAACTCGACCTTCCCCTAATTAGATATAAAATTTACATGGAAAACTGACCCTCCAATATAGTTATAAAATTTTACATATATATATATATATATATATATATATATATATATATATATAATGTTTATTTGTTATCTCGGTACTTAATCTATATTGATACGAAAAAATTCTGGTTGTAGTAAATTTGTACAACTACACCGAAACAGTTTATTCAACTTTTTTGAGTAATATGTACGGTGCTAATATTCTTTTTCAGGCCTCCAAATTTTGGTTTGCTTTGATGAAACGTGCAAATTTCTAATTTCCCTCAAAGCATGTGGACTTCAAAGCTGTTTCGGGTGATGAATAAAACATTTAGCCGTTATCTTTTACGTCTTAAGAAAGCTGCCGTTGTATTTTAAAAAATAAATAAATAAATTAAATTTTTTTAAAATAATTAAAAATTAAAATAATTAAACGTGCGTTAGGTATTTACTAGACCTTCCCGACAAGGTAGGATGTGGTACAAGGCCAAATTGGATTTGCGTTGTAGTGTAATTGATATTGGCTAGGAACGAGAGTTTGAGAGCGGAGTCCGAATTCCAGTCAGGTTTGTTACGTTCAATTACACGCAAATACCCTTGGGGGGGGGATATGAATCCATATCTTCTCCCACTAGTTGAATAACAGGATAGACTGGTTCTTATAGCCTTGGTTTCCAAACAGTCTATCGCAAAAAGAACCTACCACTGGAAAATATGTCTCGTTAGTCATGAATCAAAAGAGACATGATCAGCTAAGCGTTTCGCTTAACTGAGTGATTCAAAATTGTTTCGAACGATGAAAAAATGTTTTCTTCAAACAATAAGAAGCGATCATCTATGTATGGATATGCACCAAATACATTTCAAAGGCCATGACACAGTATTCAGACATGTACTACTATACGTGATCCAATATCGAAGAGCAAACTACGGCCCTGTCGTTGTCCCTCCTGCGCCTAAATCCATAAAGCCTCCAAAACTAAGCTGTTCTCTATAAATCGTCTGAGAAGCCCCTTTCTGCCTTCCATCACCATGGCTGATGCTAACCTCTACGAGAGTGGCTCATTGCGCCTTTTCGGGCTAACCATCTCAGTCGGTTAAGGCACGTCAGCGTAAATGACGGTTCCGTATAGGATGCAGGTTCGAATCCTGTCAAAGGACGAATATTTTCTATGAAAATTTCTCGGACATTCAGGCTTTGGTAAATGTTATTTAATACTGTTTATTATAAACAGAGCATTTACTTAAATACTTGTATCTATAAAAAAGAATGTTAAACATAAAAAATGTCTTTAATATATATATATATATATATATATATATATATGTGTGTGTGTGTATATATATATAGTGTGTGTGTGTGTTAGTCGTGGCTCAGGTATAAAGACAAGCCTCTTACTTGTCAGTGTGCCTCATACTAACTTCGAGCGAGTCGCCTTGAAATAGAAACAAGTGGAGATATTTGTGCCCGAGTGGTATCAGACATTTCCAAATCAGTCATATTGACCGGCTAAGAGACGAAAGAGCACCCGCCAAAAGCATCAGTAAATATTTTTTGTTTGCAATGTCCCGACACACTCTCTTTTGCACAATATGTGCACTTGTATGGAGGTCACTACCCGAAACAGCATCCAAAACACAAATCCGTAATCACCCAAGAAAGGGGGAAGCTTACTCCAGTCTTGAATTGTTTGTTATTCAATAAGGCTCCAGCTGAGCAAAACTTTAAGGAATTCTTTGCGGAAGATACGCAATACTCTTACTTTCCCAGTCTTTTCACGTCAAACGATACCATTCGTCTGCTTATTTTTGTTGATTCTAATACATTCCACTCGCTGTCAGATGGCGTTTTCGTAACCACGGCGATTTCGTAATCTTGCACTTCTTCACTCTCTTTTTCATTGGGTTGAATGCTTTCATTAGGCACTGGCATCTTGATTGTGAGTGGACGCCGGAAATCATCTGTTTGGTTGCTACTCACATCCAAAATTTCTACACAATCCAGGAGATCTGCGCATTTAAATGGATACGTCTCCTGACAATACGCCACTTTCTCTGGAGGAACTGGGATAACCTACAGAAAAACAATATATAATTATAAAAAAAACACCAACAACAATTAATCTTTCTAAGCGTATCTTAGATGCGGCACAAGGCCGAAAATATAGGGCACTCAGGGAGGCTCAAACTCACTACTCAGTCCTAGCGAAACAAGCTTGTTAACCATTACACCTCGACGTGGTGTAATGGTTAGCAAGCATGTCTTATGACCTTTTAAGTGAAGCTTAGATGTGGCAGAAGACCAAAAGTATGGGGCACCTAGTGAGGATCGAACTCATTACTTATCCGTAATTCGTCTCGTGATACAAGTTTCCTAGCCATTGCACTACATCGAGGTGCCATTGTGACTTTTTAAGCGTAGCTTAGATGTGGCACAGGGCCGAGATTATTGGGCACCCAGCGAGGATCGAACTCACTCATAATTGTTCTAGCGAGACCAGCTTGCTAACCATTACACCATATTTCTGGGCTTATGTCGAGGTACTTTATTTTATTTCTTTAATCACTTAACGCCGATTACGTTAATCTGAAGAAAATTTAAATAAAATTTTTATTTAGGGAATAAAATTCAAGAGCGATAATCTCATTTATTTAATTGGCACTATTTAATCCTTAAGCGGCGGCCAACATCAACTGATGTTTCATTTGACAATCAGTGGACATCATCAACGAATACGGACATCATTCATACATGATTCGAGTCTACATGTGTCAACTCTAAGATTTGTGTGGTTACGTCATTTCTTGAAACATGTGTCTGTTAATATGATTGGCTGATTGATTCGTTGATTTACATTGTTGTTTTCATAATCTAAACATAGCTTTAAAAATATAGGCTACACTATGCTGATATCATCTTCATTATCATCAGCCTCGTGGCCGCGTATAGTCGTAGTGTCGCTGAGCCCCTGATCAGCTCCCTCCACATGTCTCGGTACTTATTCACTGTGCTACTATCATCTCCATTATCATCAGTCTCGTGGCCGCGTATAGTCGTAGTATCACTGAGCCCCTGACCAACTCCCTCTACATGTCTCGATAGTTATTTACTGTGCTACTATCATCTCCATTATCATCAGTCTCGTGGCCGCGTATAGTCGTAGTATCACTGAGCCCCTGACCAGCTCCCTCCACATGTCTCGATAGTTATTCACTGTGCTACTATCATCTCCATTATCATCCGTCTCGTGGCCGCGTATAGTCGTAGTATCACTGAGCCCCTGACCAACTCCCTCCACATGTCTCGGTAGGTATTCATTCATACGTCGCGGATTTTAAGCCAAGTAGTCCTAGCAGAGCCCATCCCTCTACAGTTAAATATACATTAGATTTTTTTAAAGAATGAATTTAATAAAGTTTAGTGATGATATTCCCAAGACAGATTGAGAGACAAAAGAAAATAGCGCATAAGATACTTGATGAGCTTAAGTAAATCGATAGCAGAACAGGGTTTAGGAGAAATAACGAATAGATAAAGATTATTAAGAGCTATAAAGGACAGGAAATTGTGGAGAGACATTATCGCCTACGTCCTGAGAGGACACGGCACATAAAGACGATATAATATAGTGTTTTTGACGTGTGTTTATAGTTAAACTTTTTTCAGGACTTCCTCGAATTATTCTCGACGTAAAGAATTATGTTCTAAAATCAACAACACAGAATTCATAATACTACTCTCTAACACTACAAAATTTGAAAATAAATTAGTTATCCCCAAAACTTTGATCTTTATCTCCAAGGCAATGAAAGATATAATTAGGGAAAAATAGATCTGACACAACTTAAGATGCTGAGATTTATCAAATAAATTGTTTGTAATGTAGATACACTTATACTTGCGATATATCTCTGAATCTAAATGCCCACATCTGTGAACACAAGAGAGACCTACGTTGCGACAAACATTTAAACTCATTTTTTAATACACAAGAACAAGACAAGCAATATCTTTCATTTTACAAATGCCACCCTAATTTAATAAAAATACAGTTCTCTATTGAAGAGAGTTCTGATAAAAATTTTGCCAACTATAAACACACGTCAAAAACACTATATTACATCACCAACCTTTCAATACATTTTTAAAGAATCTCACGTAACTATGACGACCAGTGTTGATGGAAAAACGTCTCTAAATCAACATGCGGACAACATTTAAACATAAATAATGCTTAAAAGACACATACACACACACTTGCATATATACATTATCATTTCAATCCAGCATAGGCAAACTAGAATTATGATACACTTACACACGTTATACACACGAACGCTGCTTGACAAGTCAAATACATATGAAGTCTGTTTAAACAATTAAAATCAAACAACACAAAATTTTTAAAAAACAGAAAATGTGCTTCCATATCTTATTCTCTGATGAAGTTTTAATAAATGGGAAACATGTTAAATTGATAAACGTTTCCATTTGTACTTTATCCTATCCTATCATATATATATATATATATATATATATATATATATATGGAGGCTCGGATTGAGGAATCGGAGAGTCAAGTTCGAATTCTAGTCGAATTCGTTACATTCTCATACGTGCTAATACCCGTGGGAAAAGTATGAATGTATCTCTTCTCCCCCAGCTATGGGTAAATAGTAGGACAAACCGGGTGCTATAGCCTTGAGTGACGAATGGTCTAGAAGAAGGACAACTCTCAATTCAAAAATGTTTGAGAACCTTGTGTCATACTGTGCTCCAGTTCTTTGTATTCGGCTCTTCCAAAAAGTGTAGTCGGTTCTACACGAGCCTTCACCACAATTAACAAATTATTATATATTATAATAGACACGCACGTGTAGTGTGGCTTTTGGTTCTAAGAACTGAGCTGCTTGACACTCATACGTGGAAAACAAGTGTTTTATATATATATATATATATATATATATATATATATATATATATATATATATATACTGCGTGCCAAATTATTATCGAGATAACTTTTTTTCAAATATTTCAAAAACTGTCCAATCAATTCACACAAAATTTTCACACAACGTTGGCAATACTGACCTGCGCAATCACTGAATTTTTCGTACTGATCTGCGCAATGTAAATAAACTGGCGCCATATTTGTTATCAGCACGGTGATTTCAGAGTGCCAAATTAATAGAAAGGTCTAGTAAAATTCCCAGAATTGAGCAAACAAAACGTTTATTAATGTTGCACGTGAATGTTTACGATCAAAAGAAGCTAATAAATAAGATAATCAAACAAATAATAACAGGTAAAATACAAAGGCACAATTTTAAACAAATTAATAGGGAATGTGCTTTCCCAGTTTTGAAATTACTATCGATCCACAGAATTTGTTAATTGTAGGATGTCATCTGCTGTAATGACGCGAGATATGGCAAGAATTGCTTCCCACAACTCGGCGTTGCTCCTGAATTGTCGTCCGTTGGCGTACAGTCTTCGCTTCATGATGCTCCACGCAGTATATATATATATATATATATATATATATATATATATATATATATATATGATGGTTACATCCTGCATGTTAGACACCAACCATATATATATATATATATAAAGAAATATACTCTTAAGGTGTGCTATATTTATGGAATAAAGTGCTCAATATTAGAGATAGAGCGTGTGTAAATATAAAAGTGAAAGATTGAAGTCAACACTTATAGGCGACAGGCTGTTTCATGCTAGATGCAATCGTGCAAGGCCATGTCCCGTCATCATGAATCGTCAAGATTTTCTTTAATGACATGGGGAAAAATAATGGTTTCCTGTTGAATTCTCCCTAGTTTCAAATCCAGATTTGACCTTCTAGTAGACTGGCTACCACCCAAAGCTAGAGAAACTTATCTAACCTTCTCAAGACTAGTCGAACAAATGGACTTTTCAATGGGAAAGCGAACGCAACAGACTAGACAGGTATTTGAACTTGGATCACTGATTTCTTGCCAAGAACCGTTATGCCACCCGCACACGCTAAATCCTTATATCAGGTTGGTGCAAAAATAATGTCGTTTTTTGACGTTCAACTTAACGATAAAAAACGACATTATTTTTGCACCAGCCTAATACTTTTTGTATATTTAATGTAACTATTTACACGGCGCAAGATTTATCCTAACTCCGTGCCACAGACTTCAGATACGTTAATCTACTTTCTTAGGATAAATGCTTTATCGTTACAAAAGATTTTGTCGTATATTTTGATGAGCGGTTTTGTTTTTTGTAAGCATCCAAATGTTGCAGCAATTTTTTTTTTTTTTTTTGGTAAATGCACATACCTTTAACGAGCAGAAGACAGTGGTCTCGACTGCTTTCCGGGGACATCTCACTGTGCAAAATCGGCATAGTCGTGAAGTATAAAGCGAACCGTTGGGTGTTAATTCAAATTTCTCTTTCTTTGGTAAATAAGTCACGACAAACACTCCGCCTTGATGTAAAGTCAGTTCTACCACTTTCTGTTTCTCGTCTTGCTTTTGGGGACGAAAAACAAAAAAAAAAAAAAATGAATCAATATATAAAACACCTGGGCCTTGATTTCGTTAACTTTATCTTACTCAAATTAAAACTGATTTGTTAGTAAAAAGATAATAAAATAAAATAAACGTGTTGTCAAATTTAAGTATGATATTTACCCCGTCTCCCCCACTGAGACGTGATGCGACACAAGGTTGGGTTTATTGTGGGGGAACCCGAGCGCGTACATCAGGGCCAAACATTGCCCAGTCCCAACAACCGTCAGTTGCACTGGCATCGGTATGGCTATCGATCCCCCTTCTCTAATGCAATGAGACGTGTAGAGACGCGGGCAGCTGTTCCCCGAGACCGGGCATCTCTCAGTATTTTGTTTTCCTCGGTTGTGTCTCTGTCCGCGGACAGTGACACAACAGAGCCGCATTACGCGGCATGTCAAATTTAAGTATACATGATTTATCTCCCTTGAGATTTATTAAAAGTTTTAAAAGCAGAGAACACGTTCCACGAACGTGCATGTTAAAGTTATAAAAACAGAAAATTCATTTTAAAGAATACAGTGTAACCCGGATATAAGAGAGTTGTCGGGACCGCAGAAGAAGTCTCTTATATCCGGGTTTCTCTTATATCCGGGTTTGGTCTATTTTGTTTAGGTAAGTATGGGCTCTAATTTGGGACCAGAGAAAATCTCTCCTATATCCGGGTCTCATATATCCGGGTTACACTGTATTTTTCTGCTTATTGTCACTTTATATATAAAAACAATGAAAAAACATATTTCAACTATTTTACATAATAAAAAAAAAAAAAAACAAACAAAAAAGACAAAACGGCTTACGGTTACATTACGTTGAAACAGTTGTTCCTGTACGATCACCGAAGGTAAGCAACGTCGAGCTTGGTCAATACCTAGATGGGTGACCGTTTGGAAAGACTAGTGCTATAAGATTAGATGTGCGGGTGATGTAATGGATAATGGCCGGGAATTGTTAATCGGAAACGCGAGTTCAATTCCAGTTGGGTTTATATTCACTTACCGCGCAAATACCCTTGAAAACAAATATGAATCCACTTCTTCTCCCCATCACCGCTAAGTATGGTTTAATTAGTGAGACTTGTAACACTAAATCATTACGATCCCCCCCCTACAGAATTCTTACAATCTAAAAATATTTTCTGGCTTTGAATAACCTATAATAAGCAGCAAAAACGAATCAATATTATAATAAAAGTAAAATAAAACAATGGTATCTTCCTAAATTTAATGCATTTTAACAATAGGATGCTCCTTGGAGCACAACGGAATTGTGCACTCTTTACATCAAGTTGTCACCATTTTTCGCCTTTTTTTTTCTCTTCGAGAAATATCCATGCAGCTGAAATGCAGTTTGATACTCATGTTAGCATCAAGCTAACATGACTATCAAACTGCATTTCAGCTGCATAGTTATTTGGACAGGTTTCCAGAAGACTATGGCGATATAAGTGATGAACAAAGAGAATGTTTTCATTGGGATATAAAAGTTACTGAGGCCAGATACCAAGGGAAATGGGATAAAAGAATGATGGCAGATTATTGTTGGAGCCTGAAGAGAGACAACATTATTGATCAATGACGAAATTCAAAAAAGGTCTTAACATGGTTGCTCCTTTTTTCTTTTCTTTTTTTAACTTTATTTAATTTGCATTTACATAGCTGTTCATATTTCGCTTTTCAAACAAAGAACTCAAAATAGGAGGCACGGTGGAGTAATGGATGACGGGTCGGATTGAGGAATCGGTGAGCCGAGTTCCAATTTCAGTCGAATCCATTACATTCACTTACGTGCTAATACCCTTGAAAAGGTATAGATCCTCTTCTTCTCCCACCTCCATCTATGGGTAAGACAGACCGGATTCTTTGGCCTTGGCTGGCAACTGGCCAACCACAGAAAGAAATGGCAACCTACTGCGGGAAAAAATCTGCCTCGTCAGTCATATATCGAAAGATACATGATCGACTAAGCGTGTGTCACACATGGCCCATAACTAATTAAAGGATGAAACATTTCCGCAGATTCTGATGTCATACTGTTTTTTTTGGTGTGGGGGGGGGTGTTCTTGCTCATTCTAAACCCCGTAAAACACCATATAAAATTCACTATTTTTGATCCATAATGTTGAATGGGTTAAAATTATTTAACTTTTTAGCAAGAAAAATCTCGAGTTGATGTTAAAAATTGTCGCAAAACATTGTTGATTTATTTAAGATGGAATGATCTATTATTATGATCTAAGCACAGTTTAGATGTGGCACAAGGCCGAAAGTATGGGTTATACAGTGAGAATCAAAACATGATCGCCTAAGTGTGTATCACGGTTGGAACATAAGTGACTGAACTGAAAATAAGCAATTTTCTTGTTCTTGCCCATCATCTGAAGAAAGAAAACTAAGGTTAAATAGGAAAAATTATGGTGATATTCGAATTCGATGACATGAAATTGTTTAAAATTAGCTATGATATCCCTTGCACCATTTCAAGAAAAAAAGTTCCGGCTAGTGTCGTCAATATATTAAAAAAGTATTAATGTTTCTTTTATCGCGAGTCCAGTCGGTAAAAGACTGTGTAAGGGTCCGGGTTATTGTTACAATAGCATTTTAAAGATGTAACTATTATATTGATTTGAACTTGTTTTTTACAGATAGGTTCACAATGTACAAGACCCGCAACATAAGAGACAGAGTTTATGCTGATAGGTGGAGAAGATAACAGTTAACTCTAGACTTGGACAAGTTAAGATTGTAGTGCTCGGGGAAATATACTCTCTAGGTCGGTTCCACAAAACAGTAGGTCGCGAGAAGCTTGTTCGAATGGAACTTACATCTCATCAATAGAATTACGAAGGGTATGAGAATGAGTTGCTACAATGTGGGCGGCATGGCGAGCCTTAGCTATGAAAGTGGTGAAATTAAAGAACGTTGTTTGAATACTTTTTATGAAAGCAAGAGAACAACGAAAGTATATGAATAAATAGTAACCTTATCGGGGGTCGGTCCCACAGATCGGTGGTTCTCCGGAATAAGCTGTTCGAGAGGAACTTACGTTACACTAATACTGAAGAAAACAGTCGTTGTTATATTTATAAAAAAAAAACGTATCAGATACAATCATTAAAAACAGGACTATACAAAAAATAACCATAAAATAAATAACCATGGTAGAAATGTGGATGTATTTTATGTCCTAATTAATGATAAAGAAGTTCTAGTAGCTTACCTTGGTAAGAAAGCCTACGTTAACCCATTCTTCTTCATCGGACCATAGACCCTGAGCGTTGAGTTCGAATAGTCGATTGTCGATCTCTTCATATGCTATCTGTAAAAATATCGGATTTTTCAACTGATTAATGGAAGTCTCCAGTCTGAATATTTCGCTATGCAGCCGTTCATCGATGCTCAATTTAGGTGCGTAGGCATATCTGATGTCTGGAGAAATGACGCCACAAGTGATAGTGTCCTTCTTGTTCAGTACGCCTTCGGGAATGATCAGCTTTCCACCCACATCAATATCAAATGTACCACCCTTCTTACCGGGTGAAAAACAAGCGCTGTAACTGAAAAGAAAATAACAGTTTCATTTCCTTTTTTTTTTAAATTAGAAATATTTACTAATTTTGGCTTTTTTAAAAATGTTTTTATACATCATTGTACACGTCGGCGATTCAAGAATCAGCTCAAAAACATCTTACTGAGGACAGAAATCGATCGGGTAAATTGGTAGACGGAAGCCACGGAAAGAACCAATTAGCGCAGAGCAGTACACGAAAAAAAAATCCTTCGAAAACACCAGAAGACAAATAGAAGAGACGAAAAGAGCCCAAAGTAAAGTCAGAACTCTTCACCCCCTGAAGCCTCTCACACTACCATTCGGTGACTGTGGACATCTCTTCAGATCCATCATAGGACTATTTCACACAAAAGGAAATGCCGATCAGTACCCCAATGCTCGGTAACGAGTTCCGCCAACGATGACATCTTTGTTACAAAAATTCTTGGAGATTTTCTTTTAATAATTTCACTCCAGTCAAGCCAATAAAGCCACTAAGATGGGGTTATTCATTGTGAGAAAATATGAGAAAAAGAAAACATTATTAAGGAGAGATAAAAATAAAAGATCAGGAATTAAAAAGACGGAAGCTAAAGAGTGACATCAAAATTTTAAATGAAATATGAATCTTTTCTCTTTTAATTACTGTTCTTTTATTTTTCTCTGTACTTAATAATCTTTTCTTTTTGCTCATTTTTTTACGGTAAGCTTCACCCTATACAAGGTCAGGGGCCACTCGTGGTAGATGTTTACAGTAAAAGACAGTTTATGTGGATAAAAACGGTAAGATAACGTTTAACCCTAGACTTGAACAAGTTTGTAGTGATCAGGGAAAACACCCTCTTGGGATTTGGTTCTACAGAGCAGTGATTCGTGGGAAGAAGCTGCTCGAGTAGGACGTACATCTCACCAACGGAATACAAAGAGAATGACGGTGGTTCGCTACAAGGTTAGAAATGGTGGAATTATGAATGTAATTCGTCTTAGCACTTTTGGAAATAGCAATCTAGCAGTAAGAGGCTTGCCACATCCCACCTGTGAGATAGAGGTTGGAAGGTAGAAAATAATCTAATCACCCACAAAGATTCGGTGACGTTTTTGAACTCTATCTAGACTGGAAAGTGAGGACTGGATAACTCCTGCCTAAATATGATAACAGTAAACCCTATTAGGCTTGATGTGTCTCTTGTAAAGGTAGAGGGAGTGATACAAGGAGTCGGCCATTTTTTCCCGCATCGTTAGTGATGGATCGTATGTACGAGTTCCACTTGTGGTCAGGAATTAGTTTGAAAGATCAAATGCCAATTTCTGATCATTCATGTAAATCAAAAAGAGTGACACCTGCTGGAAGCCTTCGTTAACCCCCCAGGACACCTGGGGACTGACCGTTAATAACTACTTCTGGTAGGAAGGTTTTTATAATTGAGAAGACCCTTTCAGTGATTTCATAGCTGGAGAGCTTGTCAATTCTCAAGAACAAAGAAAATGTATAAATTCACTTTCATATGTTTGTTTTATTACAATTCTAATAACCGCTGTTTGAAGCCATAAATATTATTGAAGAGTTAAGGTATTTAAAAAAAGAAAAAAAAAAAGAAAAAAAGCGGCGTCATAGTGTCATACCGTCATACCTGACGTACCTATTCTATTATTAATAGACTCTCCCACACATAATAAGTAGTAGTAGTAGTAGCGGTGGCCAGTTGGGCTCAGTGGTGTTGAGCGAGTCAGTCGATATCGGACATTGAAGTACCATCACAACTAGATTGCTGCCTTATTAACACTTATTTCAAGTTCCTAACGTTTTGTACGTCGAACGTAATTTAGGACGACTTATTGAAATACAAGCCTCCACTGTGAAAACTACTCTACAACACATAGGAAAAATCGTCCTTTTGACGCTGTCTTATTGCGGACATGTTTGTACATGTTTGCCAAATTTTCTGATGAAAAAAAAATTATTACTTGGTTCTAAAGCTACACTGACTTTCCTACACAGCCGTTTGTTCTAACCGCCTCCTACTACGCCCTTTATCTCATCTGATTCTATTCAATTCACTGACCCCTTTTTCCCCCATTACCCCACTGAATTTTTCCATCGACCTCTAAGCGAGACATTTTGGGAAACCCATGTTTAAACTGATGCCTACTGTTTTTCCATATATCTCGAATCGAATTCACCCCATGTAAGGCAATAAAGCCACTAAGACACAAAGGGGTTATTCAGTGTGAGAGAATTAGAAAACAGAAGCGTTATTGAGGGGGCGAGAACAAATCAATCAGTGAGACAGTAGATAACGATTGACATTGCATTTAAATTCTTCAAGATCAAATTTTTATCTGGAAAGCAAGAAGTCGGAAGAGAGTTCCACAAGCGAGAAGTGCGAGAAAAGAAACTGTTAGAATAGAACTTACGGTTAAATCTAGAAAATTCAAGTATAAACCGATGAGACCTAGCCGTCAATCTAGTACTGCGCTTAAATTCATAAAGTCTAGATATCATACAGGAAAGTTCATCAGAACAATTACCATGAAAGTGTTTCTACAAAAGGCATAGGGAAGCAATTTTACGGTGATGGGAAAGTGACTGAAGCCGAGTGACCAGGTTAGTACTAATAATATTGCTGATTCTTTTTTAGATTTTTTTTCAATAATCTCGAAATATAAAACAAGATCACCACACCATATGTTTAAATTATAATTACAAACAACAAATTTGGAAAATGAAAATTTTACTGAAATATGTTGGAAAATTTCCAAGATTTTATTTGAAATCAAGAAAATATGTACTTTAAGCAAAATAGTTACAATGAATAAAAAAAGAAGGAATCATTTTCCACTGACGCTAGGAGGATATGGATTAAATATCAAGATATAGAATTTTTTAGAATAAAAAGGATAAATAATCCCAAATATATGCAAGTAGCGTAACGTTTATCGAGACTGAAAGTGAAATTGATGGTCCGAGTTCAAAGTCTAGCCTAGTCTGTTACATTCACTTTCGCCCAAATGTCCTTGAGAAATGCATAAATTTATCTCTTCTCCCTCCCCATCTGCGGGTTAAATAGTGTAGACAAGACCCTCTAGTTTAGGTCCGAAATTCCCCACCAAAAAATATCTCGACAAATGTGCCTTCCAGAATTTTCATTTGGGTCCCTCTCTGACCACAAATTCTCGAGCTATTCCTGTCGTTTACTAATTTTTCTTAAAACTTTGTACATTTCAAGGCAAGCGTAGAATATAAACAAATACAAGAGTAAAGTAGACAATAAAAGTAATCGTTCCTACCCTTTTATTGAGCTCAAACCGGTTCGAAGCAGCATATGAGAACTAAAGAATAACAGACCTCGTAATAGAAGAGTAGCGATACTGTTTTTTTTTTTCATAGTATAGCACAAGTAGAATTTCTCATGGGCCCAATCAAGCCCTTGTAAAACTATGAGACACACTTCAAAAACATTGTAGAGCTTTTTATACTTAGAGTTGAAGTCGTATTCCAATCATAATTTATAACAAAAAAACATTTAAAATCTAATTTAAAATTAGAATTAAACGTGAACTTACCATTTAGACGAAAAATTAAAAGTCGGATTATTATTTTCATTCAACTCTTTCCCTTTGTTTTCTAGCATCTCGATTCTGGAATAAGAAATAGAATATCGTCTTGTTCAGCGAGTAGAGTCAAATAATGATGGCATCGATGCGTTTATTTGAAAGTACGGATCACTATGTAATATCAATTCTCCTATAGCAATGGATGCTTGGGTACCTGGAGGTGGTGTAATGGTTAACAAGTTTGTCTCGCTAAAACAATTACGACTGAGTAGTGAGTTCGATCCTCACTGGGTGCCTGCTACTTTCAGCCTTGTGCTACATCTAAGTTACGCTTGGAAAATAATTATAGCGATGAATGCTTGGGCACCTGGAGGTGGTGTAATGGTTAACAAGTTTGTCTCGCTAGAACAATTACCAGAAAGCGACTTGAGGCAACACTTTCCAGTCTTGGTAGAGCTCAAAAGCGTCTCTGTGTCCGTCCTGGAGTGGACTTGTTTTCCACCCTTCTAACCTCTCTCTCTCTCTCTCTCTCTCTCTATCTATCTATCTCTCTCTCTCTCTCTCACACACACACACACACACACACACACACACACAGAGGCAGGATGTGGCGAGTCTCTCATTGCTCTATCGTTACTTCCATGGAAAGTGCTCGGACAAAATACATTCCTTGGTTCCGTCGGGTCTAACTTTCACGACTAGGGTCTACCATACCACTTACATAGAAGCAAACCATCCATAATCCCTCCGTATTCCATTGGTGAGAAATAAGTTCCAATCAAACAGCTTCTGCCCGCGAACCACTGCTCTATGGAACAGACTCCCAAGAGGATGTTTCCCCAATCACTATAATATTAACCTGTTCAAGTCTAGTGTTAACCGTTGTCTCCCTCTTCTATATTAAACTTTAACGTAACCCTCTACCTCGAGTGCCACCCATGCCTTGTACCTGGTGAACCTTACAGTAAAAAAAAAAGGAAGCTGAGACTACAATGAAATAAACTTGTGAGTACCGACGAAGCTTTAAGGAAAATAGAAACAAAAAGGCCGCAAAAGAAAGAATTGAAGTGTCTAGGGCACATAATGTGGAAAGAGGGAAAGAGGGCTTAGAGAATTTGACACTCATGTGACATATTGAAAGCAAGTGGGACATAGGGAAACAACGAATAACCTATCTAAGTAACTTGTGTAAATGGATATCAGAACAGACAGTGGTAGGAATACTAAATGCATAAACGTTGCTAGACGCTACAAAGGATAGGAAGATGAGGAGAGCCATGATCAAACATATTCTAATGATTCACGCCACAGAGAAGATGCAGAAAATAGTATTGCGGAAATCAACATTTTTGATACTAGATGTGGATGTTTTTTAGTAAGTGTTAAATGCTCCCGGCACATATGTCCCGCAAACAATATTGATGGACTCACGTGAATCCGGGCAAAAATAAGTTAAGACATGGATATTAGTACAAAGTATTAATAAATATATTAATAGGACCTATTACAAAGAGAACAAACTGAGAAATGAAATTAAAAGTGAAGAGTTCAAAGCAACCTTCAATATCTGTCCCTGAAGTACTTACATGCCGACAGAACGAGAAGTCACCAACGGAAAGAGAGGGTCTATCAAATCTCGCGCCGCCTGCAATTATCGTCAAGGTGAAGAGGTAATTCAATATCTCGCATCCTGTGATTATCGTCAAGAGGGTGCGGTAATCCAACAATACACGCATTTGAAAAAAAAAAAAAAGAAATATAGAATTCTCCACATCTCATATGAGCGTCGTAAGGCATTTGAAAAACTTGGGGATTAGTAATTAAACACATTTTATAATGACAACTAAATATATTTTTAAAGCGTGAAATATAAAATAAAAACGTCCTTTTATTGTAACCAAGAGATAAATGGGCAAAAAGATTTTATTAAAGTATCCGTCATGTTAGCGGTTTTCGAATAACAGCATTCGTAGGGCCGAGATCGAATCCCACTCGGATTCTTTATATTCACTTACGTGGAAATACCCTTGGAAAAACTATGAACGGCTTTAAATAACACACAAAGAGTTGATAATCCGTAAAAAACGAACCAATCAACGAACAACGATGTTTTTATTCCACATAATATCACTGATAGCTAGGCCAAAGAACATGAATGAAATTCACATTAAATACACACTGCTACAGAGTAGGTGAGGTTTGATAATCATATTTCGAATTGGGACAAAATTAGAAGTGAAAAAAATAAAATGAGACCCAGTAATAAAATGTGGTAATTACAAATATTTTATAATGACAATTAAATAATAGAACAAAAGAATGCTATTTAAATAAGAATTTAGAATGACAACTAAATACCGGAACGAAAGAATGGTAATTATAAACATTTGGTAATGACAACTAAATGACAAAACAAAAGAATGCTAATTATAAATATTTTAGAATGGCAACTCAATAACAGAACGAAAGAATGCTATTCATAAAAATTTTAGAGTTGCAGCTAAATAACAGAACAAAAGAATAGTTATTATAAACATTTGATAATGACAACTAACTGACAGAACAAAAGAATGCTAATCATTTTAGAATTACTACTGAATAACAGAACGAAAGAATGCTATTTAGATAATATTTTCGAATGGCAGCTAAATAATAGAACGAAAGAATGGTAATTATAAACATTTTATGATGACAACTAAATAGCAGAAACAATAGTAATTAAAAACATTTTAGAATGACTACTAAATAACAGAACGAAAGAATGGTAATTATAAACATTTTATAATGACAACTAATTAGCAGAATGAGAGACCAGTAATTAGAAACATGTTATAATAACAACTAAATTAAAGAACAAAAGAATTCTAATTATAAAATATTTTAGAATGACTACTAAATAACAGAACAAAAAATGCTACTTACAATCATTCTATAATGACAACTAAATGACGGCAAAATAATTATAAAACATTTAAAAATCATTACTAAATAACATAATGAAAGAATGTTAAATTTTATATTGATAACTAAATGATAGAACAATAGAATGCTAATTAAAACATTTTAGAATGACTACTAAATAACAGAACGAAAGAAGAAGAATTATAAATATTTTATAGTGACAACTAAATAGCAGAACAAAACAATGCTAATTGTAATCATTCTATAATGACAAATAAAAGACAACAAAATATTGATAATTAAAAGAAATTAAGAATAATTACCAAATAACAGAACGAAAGAATACTAGAATACTATTTTAGAATGGCAGCTATTTAGCATTCTTTTGTTTGGTTATTTAACCAAACAAAAAGAATGGTAATTGTAAGAATTTTATAATGACAAATAAATAAAAGAACGAAAGAATAATAATTATAAATATTTTATAATGGCAACAAAGTTACAGAACAAAAGAATGCTAAATAAAAACATTTTTGAATGACTATTAAATAAATGAATGAAAGAATAGAAATTAAACAAAATTTACAATGACTACTAAATAACAAAACGAAAGAATGGTAATTATAACATTTAATAAAATGTGCTAATTAAAAACATTTTAGATTGACTAATAAATAACCGAACGAAAGAATGTTATTTATAATCATTTTATAATGACAACTAAATAGTAAAACAAAGGAATGCTAATTATAATAATCCTATAATGACAATTAAATCATAACAAAAGAATGTGAATTAAAAAATAAAAATGACAACTAAAAAAACAGAACGAAAGAATAGTAGTTAAATAACATTTTAGAAAGGCAGCTAAATAACAGAAGGAAACAATGCTAATTATATACATTTTATAATGACAGTTAAATGGCAGAACAAATAAAGGCTACCTATAAAAATTTTAGAATCATACTTATTATAAAACCTAGGTTGTGTGTGTGTTCGTTTATATATTGGATCGGATTTCCTACATTTTTCAACCGATTTCAACAAAACTTCACAGGACTATGTAAAATTACCTTGCGGTGGTTCTGACAGTGCCAAAAATTGAAAAAACATAATTGTTTTTGCACGAAATCAATTTCAAAACACGATTAAGAGGCATCGCTGTCGTAAGAATGAAAAGGGAACAACTCATATAGAGTTATACTTATTATAAAAACCCAGGTTGTGTGTGTGTGTGTGTGTGTGTGTGTGTGTGTGTGTGTGTGTGTGTGTGTGTGTGTGTGTGTTCGTTTATATATGGGATCGGATTTCCTACATTTTTCAACCGATTTCAACAAAACTTCACTTTTTTTTGGCAGGTAGTGTTTCTTATTGTCTTGCACACTTTTTTCTTTATTTTTACATTTAGAATGCTTTAAAAATTCCATTTACAAGACAATTGTTTATAATAAAATTCTATTCAATTGGTAGACAATGTTTTTGTTTGAGTTTGGGTTTGACCAATTCGTAAAAAAAAAAAACAAAACAAAACAAAACAAAAACTAATTAAGACATGCGTGTCCGTCAACCTTAAACAATAATCTTTGTCAATTTTATTTTTCAGTCTTTATGATGGTCGATACTTGATCTATCTCTTACTGTTACATCCCCGGGCAACGCTGGGCTCTACTGCTAGTTACTTATAAATAAAAGGAGGAAAGAATGCTAATTATAAACATTTGATAATGACAGCTAAATTCCGGAATGAAAGAATGGTAATTAGAAATATTTTTTAATGACAACTAAATGAGAGAACAAAAGAATTCTAATTATAAAAATTTTAGATTGACTACTAAATAACAGAATGAAGAATGATATTTCTTAACACTTTATAATAATGACTAATTGGCTGAACAAATGTTAATTGCAAACATTTTAGAATAACTACTAAATAACGGAACGAAAGTATGCTATTAATTATTTTGGAATGACAGGTAAATAACAGAACGAAATAATGGTTGTTATAAACATTTTATAATGACAACTAAATCACAGAAGAAACGAATACTAATTATAATCATTCTATAATGACAACTAAATGACAGCAAAAGAATGCTAATTAAAACACATAAAAATGACTACTAAATAACAGAACGAAAGAATAATATTTAAATAACATTTTAGAATGTCAACTAAA